TCGCTGTCTCCTGGATAACCGGTCGCGAAACGAAGAAATAAACTTTATTTTTATAAGCTGCGGTTGTGTAATTAGGATCTATCGTAAAACGAGTCGAGCTACGATCGTCTTTGGTGCATCGACGTGTTTCGCTGTTTCTATTAAATCTAGCTCTAAAGTAACGACAAGGAAAGTATATCGTAACTGTGTATCGTGTATCATAGACGCGTCGTTTTAAGGCTACGGCATCAATAAAGTGACATCGAAGCAACGCTACTGGTCGAGGACGTGTCTGTCTTGCCCTCTGTTTTTTCTTTTTCGTTCGAGCAAGACGTACTAACGTGTGCATGGGAATCCGAATTTAATTAATAGCAAATTTTGTACCTTGCTTTATTTTTTTACGGGCGAAATATTCGACGAAGACACAGAAGAGGTTACGGGGGGGGGCTGGAAAACCAACGAATATGTATAGGCGGAAGCTTGAAAGTTCTGTCGAAGACAGATTCCTTTTAGGACAGAACACTTGTGCTCCCACCTATACACGACAATGCTTTTCGTGCTCTTTTCTCTCCGTTGCTTCACTGATCGTTGATATTCCGCTTTGTTGTACGAATTTTCCGTCTATGATCCTTGAAATTTTGGACCTGCTACATGTTCTATTCCACCCTCGTAATAACAACGTCGTAATCTAGGAGAAGAGGTCTCCAAGCAAGGAACGAGAATCGAGGACACGTTGACGAGCAGTCGACGAACAGGTATCAGTGATCAGCGAAGCAAACGATCGGCCCCAGTGGTACGCGTCTCACTAACCGAGAATTGTGATTTCTTTTTGCAGGTTGCCCGATCGGGAGTCAGATGCAGCAGTTGCACCACTGCAGGGCCTGCGGGAACGAGTACATGTGTTTCAGCTCGTTAAAGAGGCACGTTAGGGAGGAGTGCGGCCAGCCACCCAAGTATCAGTGCCCGTATTGTCCGAAGAGAACTAAATTACGGTGCAATTTGTTGAAACACATGCGCAAAAAGCACGCTTGAGTCGAAGATATCGCGAAATACTCGCGAGGAGTACCATTTTTCCGAGGGACAAGGAATTGTGCAACGATTGTGCCTCGACCAAGCGAGAATTTGCTCTAGAGTCGTACTAAAATGTCAAGGGTGATTTGCAACAACGATTCGCATAGCCAGAGCCTCGTTTGCCAGCATTGCTGTTGTCCAGCGTTCACCGCGGGGAGGAGAGGTTGGCACTTGCTGTGGACGAATGTCTCGTCCCACAGCTTTGAACGCCGTCTACTGGTACCATGGAATGATTAAGAGGACGCGAAGAAACGTAGAGAACGATGAAATCAATTGAATACGCGATGCACTGCATTTTGCATCGACACGGATTTCTTCAGCGTCGCATTTTATGCAGCGAGGGGCAAAATTTGTTGTACAACCGAGGAAATAGCGATTGGTTGTGCCAAAACGAATCGAAAATGTATGATAGAATTTTTTCCTGGGAGCCTTCGTTCTCGAGAATATTTGATTTCAAAGTTGGCTGGCATGTCTGACCATTATTGGGTATTTCTACTTGCAGCGGGGATAGAAATCTACTGTATATAGATTTCTATATTCTTATATTCATTGTGTGGCCTCTCTATTATCCAAATACTCTGTTATCCGAACTGAGTTCGTACCACCTTCTGGTCTGGAAGACTATTCTGATAATAAGGTGCTCAAATAGTGGAATATTCGGATAATTGGTACTCAGATACGTGGATTTTCATCGTACTGTGTCCTCCAAAAAGAATCAACTCGAACGGATAATAAGAGACCACCATAAACGTTTGCAAACATCAGCGCAAGTAGTAATATCGAGACATAGTCAGACGCGTATACCTTGAACATTCAATAATCGATTTTCTCGAAAACGAAGCCCCGTACGAAAAATTGTTATTGCACATTTTTCACTCGTTTTTACATGAACAATTGCTCTCTGTCGCGTTCGTGTCACGAATTTCGCCGTACTCCGTGTCATCTCTCTCGAAGAGAATCATCTGTAAAATAGTGTACATTCCTTTCGAAAGCATGCCCTTCTCATCTTTGTAAATAAATCACTAAGAAGCTACCGATCTGTCTTGAGCAACGATCATCGATCTAATAAGAGGAGTTGGACACTGTAGATAACCAAGTATTTCTTTCAGCTGTTTTCGACGAAACACCCCGGAGAAGCGGCGAACTTTCCACGCGTAGGGACATTTAGACCATATAACGTAACACCTTCGTCGTGTTCCAAGAAGACAAAATCGCACTTCGAACGATCGACGAAGGACGTCGACCACGATTTGAAACGGGCGATCGGGTTCTATCGACGACGAACGATTTTGCATAGAAATATTTGCACTGTTACCGTTCAGTCTCGATGGAAGGACCAAGAATGCTTCGATATTTCTCGTTACTGATCGAAATCGACGTCCTACGCGATCTCTCGAAACGTCACCTCCGTATCCACGACCACCTATTGCACTCGAAACATACACAAACAACGCAGTCGCGCGAATAGTGATAAGGTACAGGTTGAAGAGCGACAGTAACATTACTTACGTCCACGTGTTCCCCGGTGGTCGAGCAAGCTATTGACGATACGAACGCGTTACTTTTTCAGAGTGGAACACCTGCTTGGCCTGTTCGAAGTCGTACAAATGGAGGAAGTCCTTGCATCGGCACGTGCGCGAGAACCCGGAATGTTGGCCCGTTCTCCTTACGTCCGGGAACGACGAATTCATCCGACAGATACACTACAAAATGCTCTACAACGTTAACAATTGATTCGTTTTCGCAAAACCGGTGCGACACGAGTAAATCCAAGAGGCGGCGTCGCGCGCCGTTATCGCGCAATCTTTGTTGTTATTTCAGATACTTTTTTATAGAAATAAATGTTATTCTATTCTGATACAAGAGACTAATATGTGTATATATATGTGAGCATCGAAACTTGTTCCTTGGAAGAGGAACGCGGGAGATGTTTCATTGTTTTCTTTTCAGGCTGCATTTTTTACGTCTCGCTTAACGATCCGTTGAAACGATTTACCAGGGCGCTTCTTTTGCGGCCACGGTTTAATTTGCAACGTCCCGTCCGTACGATCTCGACTCGATTAATTTTTTTATTTCTTCCCGAACCAGCCTCCCCGCCTAAGATTAAGTCGAAACGTTGCTCTCTTGAATGTCGCGCTCCGCAGCAATTTTTACGTCCCTGAAGCTGTGCCGCTTTTAGCTGACGCTACGATTTTTCGCAGATTTCGGGCTGCTCCATTGGGTCAGGACACCGAGTATGCCACGGCGAGTGTACCCATGCGGCAAGTGTCAGAAGATCTACGCGAACGCATCCTCCCTCTACCGCCATTTGAAGCTCGAGTGCGGCATACTCCCGCAGTTTCACTGTCCCTACTGTCGCTTCAGCTCAAAGAGGAAATTCAATTTGGACTCTCACGTGGCGCACAAGCATCGAAAATTGTTACAGTGTTACGTAAACGAATAGACTTGGACTGTCGACGCACAGAAACAGAAAAAAAAAAACCCTCGAAGCCCTTCGCGAGTTCGCTGACGTGACAATGGTGCACGGGGACGTGCCAGAATATTGTAATCGATGCGAATAAAGATTCGCGTCCCACCCTCGCTATAACCTTATAATTCTGAAATTATAAGAATAAATTGTTCCGGCATTTACGCACGCCTTGTCTTATGGTCCTCGAGTCGTTCGAACTAGAGATTTTATTTTAATTCGTTTGTATCGGAACGTCGATATTAATTTATCGGGACTGTGGTTTTGCAAATTTCAAGTTACCCCTTATTCCAACGAAATCACAGTCACGATCTGTAAATACACGAATTAAAATGGGAAACCTTAAAAGTTGACGATCCCTAGTTCAAGCGTTTACTAATTCCTGATTTATTCCGCAGGGGAGTCGATTTTCAAAGTAAGGGAACTTATAACGTTGAAACTCCTTTTGTCCGTCGCATTAACGATTGTTTTCGTCCTCTCCTAGACTACCTGTGCTCGTCGTTTCCATCGAACACGCATTGAACTTGATCCCGTGCATTTTTGTTTCAGGGAATCGTATGCCGCGAGGCCAGGCCTCCCCGAAGAAACCGTACCCCTGTAAACACTGCGATCGTAGTTACATGTACAAAAGCACCCTGAAGAGTCACATCCAGTACGAGTGTGGCAAGGGGAAGCAATTCGTTTGTCACCGTTTGCCATAAAAAGCTCACCCTGAGCGGGCTGCAGAAACACAGGATCGGCGTTCACTGAAACAGGAACCCGGTACAAATTGTTCTCGCGAGAACCTGTTCGCCTGATTTTTTTTTTGTTTACGCGACGCCCCAGGAACACGCGATCCCCGACACGAGAACGAGACTTCGTCGTCTCGAAACTGTACAGAACGTCGGCGATCGCAAGATTGTTCGAGCAGAAACGAAACTATTTCTTGTACATTCGTTCATGTCTCTGAATGTTCATGAAGCGAGATCATCCGACGATCATCGACGAAGCATCCTATATTTGGTTACTTTGTTTTGGAGGGTTGGAATTTGGCATCTTTTCATCTAAGACAGGGCTCGGTGGAGATGGAGAGACGAGGATCGCGCATGAATAATTTAAACAAATACGCGGATAAATATGGTTTGGACGCGTGCACGCTCGGCGTCTCTCCATCACGTCTCGCAACCTTAAGAACCTCACGCCTCTTCACGTAAAACACGGCAAAATTTTACCCTGGGCGCACCTATCTCTCGGGGCTATTGGCTGATACGTTATGTGTTGGGTTGGTTACGGTTTTAATCTCACTGATCTCTCTTGCCAGTCGCATAACAACCATCATCCGTGCATCGGTCAAGAAACACACCGCCTCCTCTGTTCTCGATCCCGATCCCGTTCTCCGGGTCTCCCATCACACTTATCCCCCGTCAGATTTTCTTCTCATTCGATGAAAATAACCTCTTACCTCGCTCTCGCGTCTCGCTTGGCGCCGGGACCTGTTGCAGGAATGGTTGCGTTGCTGTCGTTGTTGCGGTCCGATTACAAGCAGGAGCAGCAACAGCAGCCGCCGTCGGGCAAGAAGAGCCGCACGTCGACGTCCGCTACGTCGACGGCGGCCGCCACCAGAAGCAACGTCGTTCTTGCGAGCAGACGCGTAAGCAGCAACGCCGGTGACAGCAACAGCTACGACAGCGGGACGTTCAACAGCAACGCGCGTACCTCGTCGACCCGCGAGGTGGTGTTCCCGGACTCGTTCGAGGTGCTGCCGCAACCCCGCGATCTCAGCGTCGTCTACATGGGCGTGCCCCACGAGCAGCAACGGAAGTTCAGGTGTCGTTTCTGCGGCAAGGGATACCGATGGAAAAGCACGATGCGTCGCCACGAGACGGTCGAGTGCGGCGGAAAACCGCCGGCGTTTCAATGCCCCGAGTGCCCGTACAAAGCCAGGCAACGCGGCAACCTGACCGTGCACTACAAACGACATCATCAGAAAATCGGTTACGACGAGGGCGCCTAAAACGCACTGTACGCGAAGAGATTCGTCGATTTCGTCTTGGGTACTTCTCGCGAGCCTTTTTCGTGAGAAGCACCCCCAACGATTCGCGAATGAACCTCGAGGGGGTACTCGGTTTTTTCTTTTTTTTTTTTTAAGATCAATTGGTTCGATGGTATTTGAGAAAATTCACTATTATTCAGTATATAGATTGCCAAGGTATGTATATCATCTTAATTCCAGTTGTAGACACTCTTTCAAAGACAAAGTTAGAGGTATTCCTTTTTGAGCTGGCTCAAAAACAAATTTCTTTTGCTGATATGTATAGTATCTTTAATTCCAGTTGTAGACACCCTTCGAATCAGCGATTGCCCCCTCGAACCGTGTACGTGCCGTTTCAGAGACTTGGAGTCTCTCCGATTGGCACGATCGTCCTGGAAATATCTTTGTCCGGCTTTCTTTCCCTTTCTTCCACGGAAATCGAGCAGTTAGTGGACCGCGGGAGTGTAATAATTGTAAATAACAAAACGTGAGAGACGCGCGAGAGTTATTTTTCGAAGTGTTTGAGGGATTACGTCAGGGGGTTGAGCTGACAAGTAAAGCATTATCCGGAATTTTCTTCCAAAGATCGTCTCAGTTTTCTAAAAGCTCAAAGTATAAATTGATTTAAATTTCACAAGAAAAATTTTATTTCTGTTAAATATATGGCCAAAAGGTGTCTTCACTGATCTTCGTAAAAGATTTCCGGAATCTGCCCCCGCTTTTCAAGCTCTCGCGCTGACGTAGCCGCTTAAAAATCTTTAGTTGTATCTGTTTCCCCGGGCTTAGAAGCATAAGCGTTCGTATTAGTGAATCACGAGCTATCGTAGGAAAGTTATAAGATTTATTTTTCTGTTTTCTCAAGTTATTACCTCAACGTAAGAATTTATCGTGGTATTTCGGTTTCTATTTGTACATAATCTCCAGTCTCTATACTTTTATTTAAAGGGTATTTTCTTTTCGTTCTATAGGAGTTGTTTATCGATTGATCTGTTCTTTTAGTTTCTAGACGAACCGGAATTCGGTGTTTGCATTTATTGTTTAAAACGATCGCGACTCGTTTCGATTCCGGGCCGTTCGACGACATTCGATTTCTATGGCGATCGTACCACAGAACAAACGCAGTTTATTTCTCCGAACTTTTACAAAACATTCCAACGATGCGCGATATCTATTATATTTTTTGTTGAGTCTCAGGATTTTTATCGACTTAAAGCAACGGTGTAATGAAAGAATTTATTGTACGTACTGTTCTTATTGTATTAACGTCGAGACAAAATTGACGATCGTGTTACCACTATCTGAAACTTCTTAACTATAGAATTTCATATATCTTCTAGTACTTTCGTACTAGTACTCTGCCTCGATATCGAAACGTTACAAATTTATATAAGGTAAATTGAACCGACGAGGCAGCAGTAGGTACGAAATTATATCGATCATTCCGAGCGTGATAAAGATAAGGGTAAAAAAAAGTGCCTTGTTTTGATAGAAACGAAACGTTTTAAGTAAATCTAAGATGCGAGTCGATCGTGCGCCTTGCACGATTGTCGTGTATCACTGGTGATTTTTGTCAAATAATCTCCAGAAAATCGGTTACCTGAGAGCACCTTATAGACTTACGATAGACAATAATAATTATACGATCTTCCATTTTCGCCTTAGAATCGAGAAACAAATGCGAGGAACCTATGATTCCTCGGTCCGTTGTTCCTCGTGTAAAAATCTGTACTTCAGCGATGTGCATTTATCGGGTAGGAAAATGGCGACGAAAAGACGAAAAGAAAGAAAAAAAAAAAAAAATATTCGAAATCTTCGACTCTTCTTGCATTTTAAATGAGAGGCGACCGACAATAACGGATTAGAGGTTTCTAAATATGTAGTATTCTATTTTTTTAACGGCCACTAAGCGCCTCTAATAATCGCGATCGTATTTGTGGCACACGGTTCTCGATCGTCGCGGTTGCCCAGTATCGTCGAAATACCAACTTTTTATACTCGATAACGGTACAGCTCGACGACTTTGTAATCTTATTGTTAGATATTCGACTCGGTACTGGGCAAGTCCGTTACGATCGACAGAACCACGCTCGACAATCGACGTTAGACGTTAGAATTTTTAAGGACCACTGTACCTTTAAGCGAATTTATCGTTGCGGAGAAACTTACCCCCCCTATTTTATTCCAACAGAAGGATCTAACAAATCCGTTCGAGCGGACAAAGGAGCCGATCTCCGATTCGATACTTTTTCTTTCTAAACGCGGAACAAGCTCGCGAACATTCCCACGATTCTCTCGACGACCGACTCCGTTTGTCGTTGCACGCGGAACTCATTCTTAGTGTATTAAGGAAGCAACGTTATTTTTTTCCATTTTTTATACGAGCATTTATACGCGCGCGCGACGAGAAATAGCGTGTACATGCGAGAGAGAAAAAAAAAGAGAAGAGAACGGACCGCGTCTAGGGACTTTTGTCTCTGGATCGCGGTCCAGTATTTTTGATATCAGTATTTGCGGATACTCGCGTCGACCTGCCTGCAAACTAACGTAGGATATACTCGTTACACCGTCTCCCTGATACCTCAACGTTGTCAATCTTGCGCGATAAGTTCGTGACAACATTGCGTCCAGCGTTTTACAAGACGCTACGAACGAATCGATCAAGCGTAATTAATTCCGTATTGCCGATCTTTGTTACCGAAACCTTTATCGTTTAATATTTAAGCAACACACTCTTTCAGTTTTCTTTCCATTTTCTTTTTATTTCTTTTGTTCGTTTTTTTTTTCAAACGCCTTTCGTCTCTCTTGATTCATCTTCGTTTAAAACGATCGGCGTATCGACGAGGAGAAGAATGGAAATTTGCCCCTCCATAAATACTCGTTCCGGTATTTAGCACTTTGAACTATTTTTTCTTCTTCTTTTGGAAAGGTTTACCAAGCGACCTATGGAATATCTATCACGATTATTATCAGCAATTAATATTATTATTAACATTATTATCATTATTATTATTATTAATATTATTATTATTATTATTAATAAAAAGACAATCTTTGTTGCGGGTTATTTTCTAAAGATCGTACGTGTCATTCTATTTTTTCCCACACATCCACGTTTCGATCGCTCGCAAATACTATCGAAAATCAACCGTATGGACCGATGTTACGAGGCAGAGTCGTTCGATGGTATCGATGCCTCGGTGATAGAGTTTTTTGAAAAGACGGATCTACCCCGCTAATCGAATCTTTCTGTTTTCAGTGCGTTTCCGCCAGCTACCCGTCAATTTCAAGATGTATCCGTGCGACGTCTGCGACAGACAATACCGGAGGATAATATCGTTGCAACGTCACAAGAGGCTCGAGTGCGGGAAACCGGCCAAATTCGAATGCGTGATGTGCCACGCCAAGTTCAAGCACAAGCACAGTTTACAGAGGCACCACAACATCCACGTGGCCAATATAAAGAAAATGAACACGCTCGAGTGGGACGAGAGACAGGCTTGACAGGCGAGGCTGGTGACTTCGATGCCAAGACAGAGAAGCTCGAGGCGCTACGATGATCGGAAGGGTCGCCATGCTCGAATCTCGCGAACTCCGATGCAATTGATTCCGTTTCAGGTCATCGTGAATCATTCGCGTACCTACTGGTTCCCCCAAAATCACTTTTCCAAATCTTACCTTATTTATTACTTCGTTATAGCGGTTATAGTTAATGTGTATCGAATATCGACAGTATTGGGAGATCTTTTTTAAGCTCGGACAATATTGTAAAGCGTGTTTCGTACGATTAATTTTAGCGAACGATTGACAAATAAAGATTACATTTTTCGATGTACCTTTTATTTATTACACGACATTCGATTTATACGATTCGAACTGTTGCAACTGCGTGTACTCCTCAAGGATCTAAGAACACATCCCCTCCATTTATGTTTCATTGAATTAAAACACCGTTCATTATCGTTCCCATAGTACATCAACTAAATGTTGACGAGGATATTTTATCCGCCCCGTGTGTTGTCAACGTTCGGACGGAACATCCTCTTGAACGTTTCTTCTCGTTTCAGATTACTGGCCGCCGCATCCGCCGCATCCTCCGCATACTCCGCCGGAAGTTATGAGACCGACGTACCCGCCGCAACCGGAACCAGCTCCAGCTCCATGGGCGAATCGTTTCCACGGCGAAACGGGACGAAACCCGCGCGGTGAAGCGACCTACAAGTGCCCGGATTGCGGACGTTTCTACATGCGGCATTCCTGTTTGACGTTCCATCTGCGCACCGAGTGCGGCAAACCGCCGATGTTCCAATGCAAAATTTGCCTGGGCTACTTCACCTACAAACACAACTTGGTGTCGCACATGAGGATCCACACGGGATCCACCCAGTACAAATGCGATCTCTGTCAGAAGAAGTTCTTCAGGCAGGACAAACTGGTGGAGCACAAGAAGAAGCTGCACAACGTCTTCCCGTGACGCGATCCATAACGATTTCGCCTAAAACGTTCCCGCCGTGTCGTTTCTAATTCCCGACGGAACGTTTCGAGGGATCAGGAAGGGATAATCGGCCGAGAACGGGGGCATTTTGTTGGGTTAATTCCACCTCGAATCGATCACCTTTTAGTGGCACTGTTTCAGTCACCATTTCGTTTGAATTTGTTTGATATAGGATTCAGGATACGACGTAGAATTGACCCTTTTTTCTTCTAAAATGAATATATCGTTATATCAAATATTTGTCTATTAATCATAAGTATTAAAACATGTAGAAGTTAAGGCCAATCACGTAGAGTTTCGAATCGAGAGATCATTCGAAGTCGGTGAACAAGTTCTATGATTTAAATTGCATTTTTCTTTTTAAACGTTAATTTTTCTTATAAACTCATCCTTGTCTTGCGATTTCGGATGATTCGATCGTTAGATATACATATAGTATTGGTTTCGGGTGATCCGGTATATCAGTTTGAAATAAAAAAGAAGAGAATATGAGAAAGAACTCCATCGTGTACATACTGTTGCGCGACGCCTCAGAGCCTTTTCAACTACCGAAAAGCGTCCCGGCCTGCCATCGATCGCTAATCGGTCGATTTTCTTGTATAATTTCAGACCAGTTTTGTCAAGTAAAGCAACGTTCCTACTACTTAATCGACGCGCGGCAGAAATTCGCCTGCAACAATTGTCCACGTACGTACACTACGTTTCCCGCTCTTCAATTCCATCAGAAGAACGAGTGCAACCGGGAGCCAATGTGGAGCTGCAACTATTGCGCTTACAGATCACACAGGCAGACGAACCTGAGGAGGCACATGCTGCGACACAAACCTGTTTCCCTGAAACAATAAACGAATCGATCTATTCGAGTTTCCAATACGATTACAGCGTGCACAGTGACCGAAAGTTCGCGTTATTGTTCAGTTTCCAATTAACGTTTACTCGCCTTCGAATGTTATCTCAGGGCGTATCGTTGCCGAGAGAGATATAAGCGATTGTTAAAACGCGCGTTCGATACGAAAAGTTACGCTACCTTCATCCTGCTGTTACGAACAGCTTGCAAACTGTTTTCTCCGTCGTGGACGCGGCATGAAGTCTCACCTTCTGCGACAGTATATTGTACTATATTCTATTTTGAATAAATAACGGAGCACATATCGAAATTCTCCCATTTCAACGGACCCAAATACAAATTGTCGAATATATTGTTTTTAAACGGTGTAATCTCGTCGCTTCACAATTTTCCAGGTTGCTGGGCATCGTTCAAATATGTAGGAGACGAGCGTAATTCGTATCGTGCGTTCTTCATTGAACAGCTGAGTGAACTTTTTGGCGAATGTAACGAGAACGCACGATACGAAACGATCACGGAGAGTTATAAGTTGTATGTTAAGTTACGGTGTGTTTCTTGTATTTGGTTCTGTTATATGTTTATTCGTGTTCTTGTTCGTGCATATCTAATAAAAAGATTAGATTCTTACATTTCTAATCCTACAAATAGCATCCCTAGCCAATGTTCGAGTACGAGGAGATCTCGAATGAACAGTAGTTCATCAGTGTCTGACTTTTTCAGGTGGTTCGTTTCGCTGGGACTGCGCCATGGCCGCTGTGCTGCCGTATCAGTGCCCGAAATGCTTCAGATTTTTAAAATCCTCGAAATCCTGGCGTGGCCATCGGAGAACATGCGGCACGGACAAGAAATATCGTTGCACGGTCTGCGATTATCGTTCTCATCGGAGGGGAGACCTGCTCAGGCATTTCGCCACCCAGCACTCCGAAGCGGACACGAAGAAACGAATCGAGCCGATCACGAGCGAAACGCGTGCGAAACGATGTGAACAGTAAACTTAAAAAACTGATGAAAGAACAGCAACAAAAAAGGAGTGTTACGTTTATTGAACCCAAAACGATCTCTGCATTTCTTTCTATCTACTACTCTAATCGTTAGCCACGTGTTTTCTCAGCCGCTAATTACAGATACGGAGGACAGGTACGTGAACTGATTTCTCAGGAACTCAGACTCGACCCTAATTTTAACCAAATAAAAAGTCGGACCTGATAAAACAAGAGCGAGAGAGGTAGATTAACAACGAGCGAGTTTCGACTCGCCTAAGAAAATTAATTATAGTAATCGGGATTATTTATAATTACACTTCGGGTATGAGTCGCGTTCTGTAGGAAAGACGTTCCAACGAGCTGGTGTCACAGCGATACTAATGCGTGGTCTGTAATTTTTATCTATGTTTCCACCAATGTTTACATCACGGATCATCGATCTCGGATGATCTCCGTGACTAATGATCCGTCCGTGAATATTGTTCGTTGCCCTCCGATCAACTTGTAACTATGGTCTTTTGGTCCATTTATTCGTTTTTTTCGCGAGGACAGCGATCGAATGGACAAGAACTACACGCCACGCGTTTGTATCGAATCGTCGGAACGTCTTTACTCTGGACACCGCTCGAAAAGCCTGGAGCAACGTGTCAAGGGTCGCGATAGCCTAAAGAATCAAGTACAAGTGTGTAAAACCAAAGTGTGTGCTCAGTCACGGTGCTACAGAGGCGTGACGCGAACGCGGGACAAGCCTAAAGCTGTTGTTTTTTCCGGATTGCAGATGACGCGATGGAGAGCAACGCGGTGGCCGAGGAGAACGCCGATCTGCCGGTACAAGCGTGGAAGATTCAGGAACAGGGCCTGCCGTTCGCCGAGCTGAAGATACCGAAGGCGTACAACTACGTCGGGAAGAAGCCGCCTGGACAGTTTGGTTGCAGCAGATGCGGAAGATCGTACATGAGGAAGGACTCGTTGCAGCGGCACATGCACTGGGAGTGCGGCAAGGAGCCACAGTTTCAATGCCCGTTCTGTCCCCAGCGCTGCAAACGGAAAGCCCACTGGCTGAGACACATCCGCCGCCAGCACTTCGACAAGATTGGAGACATGGAGGCCTACTTGCTGGCTTACACGCCGAAACACGAGATCGACTGAGCGGAACGGTCGCTCGTGCGAGTGCCTTTTTCTCGATTCGACGCTATCGGGATGCCTTCCGCCCGCGAAGTCGAACGAACAACTTTCCGCTTCAAAGTTAATGGATTTCAGATATTTACGAACCCGACCGATTTCCGATACGTCGTTCGTCCCGGTCAATTTGTAACGTTTGTGATTACAGAGTACAGGGAGGTGAGGTAACCCATCAGCTTCCAGAGCGCGCGAGTCCATTGCTGCTCGCGTACTTTGACTTTACACGCGCGTACGGAGCATTCCGCCCGACGCTTTTCGCGATTTTTTCGAGCATAGTTTCGCAGGAAATGTTTCGAACGAATGTTTCCACTTCCGTTGGAATAAAACAAATTTTACCCAGCAGGACAACCTGATTTT